TGTTTTTCGTTTTTTTTTTCTTTCAATATATTGTGCAGTTGCTGTATTTGATACATTCACAACTCCATGTTTGCAGGTTGTGAAGTACTTTTTGGACCCTAAAACCTTCCAAAAGGTGAAATTCGTGTACCCAAAGAAGGAAGACAGTGTGGAGCTCATGAAGTTGTATTTCGACGTGGATAATCTCCCAACCGAGTTTGGAGGCAAGGCCACACTGCAGTATGACCATGTCGAGTTCTCTAGGCAGATGGCACTAGACGATGTGAAATCCGCCAAGCTATGGGGCTTGGACAAGCACCCGCCCAATGGTCTTGTTGGGCCAGAGGTTGCACCCGAGCCCGAGCCACTTGCTGCGTCTGTTGGTTGAGCAATGCATCTGTGACTGTAAGGGTATAATAAACAGAACATGATAGTTTTATTTGGAATTTACCTTTTCGAATCTCCTTGAAATACCAATTAAGGAAAATTGTCCGGTACTTTTGTGAAAAAGGGGCTATGTCGATTTGTTGCCTGTATTATTTCGTAATTATGAGAAATGCGTACGATCAGTTCTAGTCGTACTTTGTGAATTCTTAGCCATTTTTTTACTATTATTACATCACTAAAAGAAAGACTTCCCCTTAGGATAGAAAGCCGATAGTCAAAATGTTGTTTACAAAGTGATGAAAGAGTCGAAATGCAACTATTTTCTATCACCTCTCTCTCTCTACAAAGAACACGAAGCAAAACTGGAAGAAGTTCATATGAAGAAACAAACGACCGTTCACAAGATACTTAACGACATACATCTCTTATTTTCTTTAAAGATACTTTAAAGGCATTCTTTTTCTTTAAAATTTGGGACGAGGCTGAAGTGACGTTTAGTGAACTACATGAGCCGCCTTGTAATTGTCATTGTGGTGGTTTGGTAAGTCCGGACGAGCAAACCCACTCCAATTCCGAGCCCAAGGCAAATAATGCCTAAGCCTATTCCCATACCCACTCTAACGCTAGCATTGAACCAAGAAAGCGCCCCATCTTCACCTTCTGTATATTCTGATCATCTCCAGTACAAACTATCATCGTCCTCACTTTCTGGTTTGTAATTTTGTACTCTGCAACCTGAAAAATTGGTAAAAAAAGCAAAATTATCGTTTATGGATGAAAATCGTGGGCACTAGTGATTTTGTTCCAAGAGAGAGGTAAATTTGAAAAACTCAAGACAATCTATAGTTTCTGCCAAGACATATTACCTGCAAATCATGCCCAGACTCATCATCATCATGGGGTTCTTCAGTAGCATCATATTCAAGAATTGGGTTTAACACACTTTTTCTGTGCTTCTGTCGGCTCTTCGTCAGTATAATCGGGACTCCCAAAAAGCAGCCAGCCACATAAACTTCAATCTTGGGCAGTAATAAAGATTGAGAACTCATGACTTGTTTTCCTTTCAAAAATCCCACACCATTACAGATAACCGATTCACAGACAGTTCATGCTCCATTTCTTGGCACTATTATTCGACTCCCCCGTAAATCCATTGGTACCTTAAGCACCAACTCCATCACTTCCTTCATCTTAACTTTCTATAACACAGTTTAAATCTGTCATGCTATGGCCATGTTTGATAGACAAATAATCTACCTTATAGCTTATTTGGTTAACTCATAAGCTTCCTGTGTTCAAATAAAGCTTCGTTTCGCAAGACGAGCCTTTATAAAAAGCTCGAGCTTATATCATTAGTTTCTTTGGGTAGTTTTTCAAATAATCTCGTTGAATTTTTTATTTCAACTAGCTTATCAGCTAATTTAACGAACACTTCTATCATAGCTAACTTTTTAGCTATAAGCTCAAAAATCACTTAGTGTTTTTGTTCGAAAACCCCGGATATAACAAGCTCCTCTTTATCGAACACTTCGAACCTCTTATGCTGTCTGTGCTGACAAGTGTAGCCTCTTCGGATTTCCTATCAACTCTGTCCCGTCTAAGAATGCAAGAGATTCCTTCCGAGTCCATCGAACATCGCGTCCCGTTTACTTCGAGGATCGTGTCGGGACTCAAAGGGACGTGGTTTAAGGTTAGACATTCAGGGGTAGAATTGTCGATAACGCAATTGCCGATTTTGACGAAAAACACACGTGTAGCGAACCAGGGCAATGCAAAATACCCATTGCTATGCGACTTGCCAGAGTTTTCCATTTCTCCGGACAAAAAGAAAAGATCTTTTTTTAAGACAACATAGATGGATCGAATTCGAGACTAAGAAAGAACTAATTTTTAGTGAAAAATGCTCTAAACAGCAAGGAATCATGTAAAAGAAAGTGACAAAACTCAAAACCCACCAGAGAAAAAATGTACTACATGAAAATACAGAATCGACTAATGCTAAACAGAATGTATTATATTAGAATTGCATAAAATGTGACGAATAATAACTATTGTATTATATACTAGTTAAGAAATATAATTATTATTTAATTAGTATAAAGTATAATGGTTTATTACCATAACTAACCTAAAAAGGTATGTTCTAAAAGTCGGTCCGGCCGCTAGGCGGTGCTCTACCGCCTCCGATTTGCATTAATCGACTGAAAAAATGGGTCAGGGGTTGTTACCAACTTATCAAAAACTCGAATTTGACTCATAAATACTAACAAATGAATCGAACTCAAGCACATTTATCTACTCATTCGTTCAACAGGCCAATGCTATTCATCAATAATTAAAAATGCATATGAAAAAATTTTCAAGTAGACATACAACTTTTCATCTTTTTTCCTTCCCACATGGGTTATTCAAACTATTTCATATTCTCGATCAAACTGTTTCAAAGGGATTTCAGCAATGTCGGAGTCCATTGGTAGCATAATTTTCCTAAGGTATACGCCAATGGCGTTCACGTAGGAGTCCGCCCGACCATGGAACCCTACAATCACTCCATTCTCGGCATTGAAGCTAAACGGCGTGCCAGCTTCCTTCCCAAAATGTCCGTATTTGCAACGATTCGTGTTTATTTTAAGGGAAGTCACTACTCTCCCGTTGTCGTAGAAATGTCCCACGGTCCCACTTATGCCCGTCACATACTCATACGGATAGTCAATATCAATCTAAAAACGTACTACGTTTCAAAATTAGTGCAACATAAACGTGCATATTTTCATAATAAAATATCATACGTTAAGAAACAATATAAACATACATATGACATTTAATAGTCGTAGAGTATAACATGTCGACATGCCTAATTAGGCCGTCTCACCTAAAAAATTTGTACCAATTAAAGCTCGTTAGTTTATATATAATATTCGCACTTACGACGTCGGTTCTATCGCCACCCTTTCCTCCGAACCTTTTGGGGGTAGCCTCGTCGGCATGGCCTTTGAACACGATGGAGTCGATGATGTCGCCGTGACTGATACTAATTTGAGTAATTCCAGATTCAGCCCTCCAATTCCAAGGCTTTCCAAATTGACCCCCCCATGACCTTACAGATATCTCTGCACCTGAGCTCCTGTACTCGTTTCCCTGCATACAGTACATACATATATATATATTATTAAGGACTAATTTAAGAATAATAAGAACAATCAACAGTAATAAAGAAGATAGAAAAAAGTGTACCATCTTAAACAAGTGCAGTCGATGTGGGACTCAGAGTGTGATTATAATTATGTGATATATTCTATATATAAAAATGGATGCAAAATCGCATCGTATAAATAGGTGCCATATAATAATATTAAACTTGTTGAGACTTTCGAAATTATAGGGCTATAATAAAGCTATCAATGGCCTCTTGACTTCCCCAAAATCCGTCATATATATATAAAAACCGTTTCGGAGTCCTATAAATTCTTTGATATTCCTTCCAAGAGTTGAGGTGATTTAGGACTTTGAATGCACATAAATCTCTATATATATATATATATATATATATAGATATAGGTAAGGGATCATATGAGAATAAATATTGGTGAAAGAAATAAGAACGAATATGTATCGTCGGATCTGTCAAATGAAGGGCTGAGATTAGTTAATTCGCGCACATGCCACATGTAGGACGCGGTGACAGAATCGTAAATAAAGCTCAATTACATGGTGAAATATATGATGTTCAGGACAAGTTTGTAATTTCAACCATTCAATAAATTGAGTGGGTCCCACCATAATTATTTCAACCTACAACTTCTCTTCTCTTTCCTCTCTACTCTCTCTCCTCTCTCCACTTTACTCTCTCTCTCTCCTCTCTCTCTCTCCCGACTCCCACTCCGGCAACCATCTCAGCCTGGCCACATTTGAAGATTCCGGGTGCACCACCTGCAGCCATCGCTCGTCCGCTGCCACACGCCGCCGAGTCCTCCGCCCTCTGCCGCCCGCCGTCAATTGCCGCATCCATTCTTCCGCTTGCTGTCGACCACCGCCGTCGATTGCCGCAACCATCTCTCCGTCCGCCGTCAGTTGCTGCATCCATTTCTCCGCCCACAGTCCACCGTCGATCGTCGTCCAATCCACGATCTAGACGACACCTCAGCTGACGCATCCCCAATCGGTCGAGTGCGACGGTGGCCTTCACGGCGAGAGCCACCAAGACGTCGGCGCAGAGAATATGTTGATTTGAGACGGCTAGATCTCGTCACCGGCATGGGAGGCAACGACGCGGCGGCGGACGGAAGATTTGTGTTCAGATTTTTTGAGTGATGGAGACCTTTTTTTCAGAATTTTGTTTGTTCAATTTTGTTTGCTTTGTTATTGAATTTCGAGTTGTAGTTACAGGGGAACTTTCAGCCAACA